TTCATTGAGATAGCTAGAAAATGATGTTTTTCTCTATGTTGGGAATTGCTTAGGGATCAACGTGCACCTTTACTGAATCCATATTGCGTAGTTGTGGCTTCCATACTGGCCTTTTCACTTCTCCTCACCTTATTGATATCCGAGAAAGATTTCGTTTGGATGGGTAACTATCTTACACACTACATAGTTTTGTTGTTCTTAGGTGGTGAAGTTGGTCACTCAGGTAGCTTTTGAGTCTGAAAAAGCTTCATTTGAGAGCTGCAACAACTGCATCATATTAGCTCATTATATGTCTGTACCAAGTGCTTTTATATGCAAAGTTTAAGCTCTTTATTATATGATTTTAGTCATGTGAGATCACGCATCAGTTGGAGAGGGGAACGAAACATTCCTTATAGGGATGTGGAAACCTCTCTCTAGTAGACACATTTTAAAACCGTGTGGCTGACGACGATACGTTACGAGCCAAAATGGCGGTGGGCTTGAGAGTTACAAGTCATTAATGCTAATACTTTCTCTAATTTGTTGCTGCAGCATCAATATTAGTGAAGAGAAGTTTTTAACCTATTTCTGGTGGTGTTATAATAAGCTAAAGGTATTTTACTTGTCAATCTGATTTATTATCTTATAGTAAGTCGAAGTTTCAACGCTATAAAACGAACTAGAGGCATCGGAATGGAGATCGAAACTTTGTAGTTACACAAGAGGGCCTTGGTGGATTCTTCCCTAGCCTTTTCTGATTCTATACAATTTGATTTTGTGCAGGAAAAAACTAGTAAGGACATACCAATGCCTCACTTGTTTCGCTTCCTTGCATTACTTGCATTCAAAATCTTTTCAGATGAGCAGGTGGATGTAGCTATCTTGGAAGTTGGTTTAGGTGGAACTTTTGATGCTACCAATGTGGTATGCTCATTTTCTTTTGCCTTAAACTAATCTGTTCTTCATCAAGGTGTAGCCATTTCATAGATTCTAATGGTTCAGGTCCAGGAACCCCTTGTGTGTGGTATAGCTTCTCTGGGTTATGACCACATGGAAATTCTTGGTTAGCCTTCTCTTAACCTTCACCAATTCAAATGATTGTCATGATGTTCTTTTACATTGCTGCTTTCTTCTTCCTGTCTAAATAGGAAATACACTTGCTGAGATAGCTTCAGAGAAAGCTGGCATCTTTAAGGTTTGTATCATACGATTTCATCAAAGAATAGGTGTCTAGGAATAATGAGTTGTAATATCCTACACTGGTTGGGGAGGAGAACAAAACACCCTTTATAAGGGTGTGGAAACCTTTCTCTATCAGACGCGTTTTAAAGTCTTGAGGGGAAGCTCGAAAGGGAAAGTCCAAAAAGGACAATATCTGCTAGCGGTGGGCTTGAGCTTGGGCCGTTACATGAGTTTAATGTTTGTTGTTGTCCTTTCACTTTGGTGCAGCGTGGGGCGCCAGCTTTTACTCTGTTTCAACCTGATGAAGCCATGCATGTGCTTAGAGATAAGGCTTCTCAATTGGATGTATGTGCAAAGCTCTTCCATTTTCTACTTCTTGACTATGCGTTGTTCACACTGCCTTATATTTGCACGTCCCAGGTACAACTTACGGTCGTGCCATCGTTGGATCCAGAGCTTCTACACGGTCGTAAACTCGGGCTTGAAGGCGAGCATCAGTATCTAAATGCTGGTCTTGCTATTGCCTTATCCTCCACTTGGCTACACAGGGCTGGCCATTCCAAACTGTCATATATGGAACAGAGTGTAAGTTCTATGCATGAGATTTGTCGTCTATGTCGTCGGTCTTCCTTAACGTTATGTCGTGTTTTCTGATTCTTTTTATCAGAGGTCGTTGCCTGAGAAGTTCATAGAAGGGCTTACCAGTGCCAGCTTTGATGGACGAGCACAGATTGTTGCTGATAGATGTGTTGATATTGAATCCCCGGAAGGTCTTGTTTTCTATTTGGATGGAGCTCATAGCCCTGAGAGCATGGAGGTTTGTGCTAGATGGTTTTCTGCTGCAATAAGACATAACCAACGAGGGATGTTAAATCATCAGTCGGAGGATAAGAGTACATCTGACAATAATGAAGCAAGGAAGAAATCTGTGCAGGTAGATATCAACTTTTGTTCCACTTCTCCAAGTTCAACCTCTTTAACAGCTAGTTTTAGCACTCCTTTTTTAGTTCTACCGTTTTAACTTAGTATTGTTGGATACTATAGGTCCTACTGTTCAATTGTATGACAGCACGAGATCCGCAGCTGCTCCTCCCACCTCTGATCAAAACGTGCGCAAATAATGGTATGTATTTGTGAAATCCCACATCAATTGAAGAGGCAAATGAAGCCTTCTTTATAAGGGTGTGGAAACCTCCCCCTAGCAAACGCGTTTTAAAAGCTTGAAGGAAAGCCCAAAGAGGACAATATTTGTTAACGGTGGGCTTGGGCTGCTACAAATGGTATCAGAGCCAGACATTGAACGGTATGTCAACAAGTACACTGCCCCCCAAGAGAGTGGATTGTGAAATCCCACATCGGTTGGAGAGGGGAACAAAGCATTCCTTATAAGGGTGTAGAAACCTCTCCCTAGCATATGCGTTTTAAAACCTTGAGAGGAAGCTCAAAAGGGAAAGCCCTAAGAAGATAATATTTGCTAGCAGTGGGCTTGGACTGTTACAAATGGTATCAGAGCCAGACATCGGGCGGTATGTCAGTGAAGATGCTAGCCGCGAAGGGGGGTAGATTGTGAGATCCGACATTGGTTGGAGAGGGAAACGAAGCATTCCTTATAAGGGTATGCAAATGCATTTTGGGACTGTTATAAATTATTGTCCTTTTTGGCTTCCCCTCGAGGTTTAAAACGTGTATGTTAGGGAGAAGTTTCCATATCTTTACAAGAAATGTTTTGTTCTCCTCTTCAATCGACGTGAGATCTCGCAGTATTTATCAAATTGTTGGAACGGAAAAGTCTGGTGCTCTTAAGGGGTTCATACATAGTAATTCTGCTTATTTAACTCAGGTGTCCACTTCAAGAAAGCCCTCTTTGTTCCAAATACATCAGTCTTCAACAAGGTTGGAAGCCATAGCTTAGCAGAAGCAAATGGGCAAGTCGACCTGTCTTGGCAGTTTCATGTTCGAAGGGTATGGCAAAACACGATACAACGAGACAAAGGTATTGTCGATTTATGGTCATGTTTTTTTTTTCATGTTGGAATCTTTCTTATATACTTTGACATATCAGGAAGTGATTCTAAAGCAGAAGTGGTAGGTAAGAGTTGTGAGAATAGCACAGTGTTTTCTTCTCTCCCAATGGCTATTAAGTGGCTCCGGGACAGTGTCTTGCAGCAGAATAGGTCCATTCGACTTCAGGTAATTGTTCCATTTGTTCTCGTTTGATATCGATTTTCTAAGAGGTTAGACATATTACGCTAGATCGAAAATTTCATGCATGTTTAGAACGACTTTGTAAGTGCTTAAAAACCATTCCACAAACACTTGGAGAGTCATCCCAAACGGACCCTTCTCTGGCAACGAGGTTAGATGCATGATCGAGTAATAAGGAAGTTTACGAGGTTTCTAATTTTCAGGTGCTTGTAACTGGTTCCTTGCATCTTGTGGGAGATGTGTTGAAATTGATCAAGTGAAGCATGGGACGGTTGTCTTGAACAATCATCTTCTCAGATTTGCAGCCACAGCACCATTCTTGTTTTATATGTTTGAATTCAAATCCCCAACTTTCAGAACTGAGAAAAGAAATATACTATTAATATTTTAAGTGAACTAGAAAATAAAGTAACATGAAGCAGCTCAATTTTTAATTATTGCTGCAGACCGAACACAATTATTCCATCTGTTGGTAGTTGGCACCTTAAAAACAGCTAATGATATATATATATATAATTTTGGATTAAAATACTAGGTTTATGTTTATTTAGATCTAATAAAATTTATAATCTTGTTCATTTAACTCGAGGACAGAGATTCTCCTTTTAAACGAGGAACGAGGAATATTAGATAAATGGAGTCGTGGGCGAGAATTATATTTCTCATCCCTCCCGTCCCATCTCCACCCCACTTTAAAGAGACTTTTAAAGCTTCATTTTTTACTTGTGTAATAATATTTGGTATTTTTTTTTTGGTACTAATTATTTTAATTTATTTATATCATTCAATTTTTTTTTTGTAAGGTTTTCTTAGATTTAAAAATTATAATATCAAATTTTGTTGTTGTAATTTTATATATTATTTATTAAGGTAAGTAAAATAATTTTATCAACGAATAATTTTTAATAACATGAGAGAATTAACAATTTAATTAAAAAAAATGTATATATTAAAAAAAAAAATCTTAATTCCTATTTTTTAAAAGAATAATAAATAAAGAAGTGACAGAGAAGGCATCCTCTTCCGTGTGCATCTCTACTTCAACTTTCCAATTTCAACCCTTCCAAATTGATTCTCTTTTACAACATCCGAACTAAATATAAAGGGTAAAAATGTAATTTCACCACCCCAAGGACATGCTGGAAGTGTCACAAAAGAAAAAGCTTCTTCCAATCAACACAAAACAAGCAACGGACAGAAAAACAGAAAGGGAAAGTGGCTCACAAGCTATGAACAAAAAGCAAGAGGACATGGTCCACTCCTTCCCACATCTTACACAGATGATAATGCTCTACACACACCACTTTTGGAGCCTTCTCCTCCTCTGCTTTCAAAGATTTTAACACAAAAGTGTGTGCTCGTAGTAATATCGACAAATAGATTTGAGAACGAATCGTACCAAGAAACGTACGAAGAAATGGCTAGCAGAGTTCATATCAGTTCCTCCAACTTTCTTCTAACCATGTTCATTGATCTTCCTATTCTACTAATCCTATAATCTTGAAAAACAGTTTAGAAGAAGAGGGGTTGATGATTTCGGGTTCCCATGGTAGCAGGAAGGACACTGTTGGATTATGGATACTAACGCTTTTGTATAATAATCAATATCTCACAAGTTAGCATCAGCAGAATTTCAGAGATAAGAATCTAAATAGATACAACAAACATTGGTAAGGATTACTTTCAGCTCAAAAAATGAGGAAATAACAGTTTTTAGGCCATTTTTATGATGCCTCTTGTGTTTGTCTCAACCATGGCAAGTCTGTATTTAGAGAAGAATCCATACCTATCGGCTATGACGGTTCGGTAGAGCTCGAGTACTTCCCCTTTTTAGACCAAAGCCAAATCTTCGAAACAGAGTAACTCTCACCTTTAGCTACACTATTAAGCTTCTTTCCATCCAAGTCTGCTTGGACTGGAGAGATGCTGTTTGAATCCGTCCCCTTGCAGGGCTGCTTATTATCGCCCTCTCCTCGAGCTTTAGACAACGCAATTCTGAGGTCGGCGTCTATAACGACGTATTGATACGATCCCATTGAGTAACATCTCCTAGCATCCAAATTACTACTGCTGGTCTCTCCAACTTCGGTTGTCTCTACAGCTTCTACAGCATTCATCCTCCTGAATTTTCCTAGTCTAACTGGGAAAACCCCCTTTTCATTCACTACCTCTTGAATTTCCATTGTTTTCTGACAATTAGGTAACCTGTAACCTGCATTACCACCACATTCATCTTCTTCTCCTAGATCGTCGAAATCATACATCGGATTTTCGATCGAATAACCGGGATTAAAGAGGGTTCCACGACAAAGAGGACATGTCGAATTTGACAAGAGCCAAGTGTCTATACAATTGACATGGAAGGCATGGCTGCACATAGGAAGTAATCTGAGTTGATCCTTCTCAGAAAACTCACACAAACAAACAGCACAATCAAATGGCTCCTTGAGACCCACAATTTCTTTATACTGAAAAACAGGAAGTGCATCTATAAAAGCTTGATCTAAACCAGAATCATGGAGATGGAAGAGCTGCTGAAGCTGTCTCTGAAGTGCATCAGAAGGAGAAAGTTGTGGGTTTCTGTTGGATTGAGAGGAGGGTGCGGTAGATGGGTGCTTTATAAGGAATCTAACAAGAAGATGGAGCAAACCAGAGATGAAAAACAAAACAGCCAAAATAACTATGATAAACAGAACTGCTGGACTTATCCTCGTACCAGACGAGGTTGTAGATGGCACTGCGGGTGGGTTTGGTTCCTTATTGTAAATTCCATCAAAAGGGGTTGAAGAAGAAGTCATTACAGGAGGAGGGTAGCTCAAAAACGCATCGTTTTGAAAGATTTGATGCCGAATCCGAGCCATATTCAAATGGGGTTTCTCCAGAAACCACTTTTGACATTCCAAAATCAAAATACTCACCGAGATCGAACAAACCCCCCCAACTTTGATACACAGATATAGCAAAAGTAGAAGCAATAGCAGCCAGAAGTGTCACAAACTACAGAACCGCCCTCTTTTATCGATAATAAAATGACAAATCGGTGATGGGGAAAGAAAAGAAAACATAAAATATTCAAAACTCACCGCTTAAGCAGATTTAAAGAAAAAGAAAATCAAATACAATGATGAACTAGTTCAGAGCAAGAAAAGAAACCCTAGAACAGAGAAGATGGGTTAATAGGGGGATAGATACCTTTCTCTTTTGTCTCTTTTGGAGAGAACGGGAGAAGCCCAGAAGAGTGACAGAGACAAGAGTTGAGGGGGAAGGGGAAGGGGAAAGGGAAAGGGAAAGGAAGCGGTGGATTGAGAACACGCGCGGGGAGTGCGCGTGGGAGAGTAATAGGTCAACCATAAGAGACAAAGTGCGGGCTTGAATTAGATTTAGAGTTATACACTAAAATCTTTTATTTTATACTATAAAATTTTAAATTTTAAATATACTCTTTTTAATTTTTTAAAATTTTGTGTGTAATGATATCTGTTAAATGAAAAATAAAAATTTAATTTTAATTTAATAAATTAATTATTTGGTTAGAAAGAAGATAAAAAAAATTAATGAGAACAAAAAGTTTAGTGGCATTTATTTGAAGCTATTTATGAGATAAAATTGTCAACTGCTTTGGTTCAAGACTTTACTTCAAGTTTGGGTAAGTAATTGGTTCTTTCAATGTTGCAACATGTGAATGGTTATTTATTTATTTATTTTAAATAAATATAAAATAAAATAAAATTGAGATCAATACATTTTCCACTGAATTTCCTTTTTGATATTTAATTATTTAAGAAACTTTTAAAAGGGCACCATAAATCTATGGAATTTTAATTTTGTATATAAATAATTACTGAAATATTCGACTTTTAAATTATATAAAAAGAATTTTTATTAATTAGCTTCTTTTTTTTTTTTTTAAAAAAAAAGAAAAAGAAGAAATTTGAATGTCATCCTCCACAAGCAACCATGTGCTTTATTTAGGCCATTAGCCACTTTTAAGGGATATTATGATTTTCCTTTTGTGATTGCCTAACTGAAAATAAGTGCGAGGGAAAGTAAATTAATAGTTTATTATTATTATTATTATTATTATTATTATTTGCTTTCTCTGAATGTAATTGAAAAATGTCATCAAAAGTTAAAGCCAAAAGTTTTTACTTTTTATTCCTTTTTTATAAAATAAAAAAAAGAAACAAAAAGTTATATATATTTTTTAATCAAAATTTTCATATATTTTACTTAATAAAGGGTAAAATTGGAAAATCATTTAAAATGAGAGGGTAAAACGGGCACATAATGTTTTTTCTCGTTATGCCTTTTGCACATACTATAAATACTATAAATAACCGAGCTTGTGAATTCAATCATTTCAACTCAAAAATATATAATTTAACTAATTGAATTATGCTTGAATTAACTAATTTGAGAGAATAGAAATGATGGAAGTGTCCTGTTGATCCTCCTTGATTGAGTCAATCATGGCAGCAACCTGGTCCATGTTGAGCCTTGCATGGGGAGAACTCTCAACGCATTTAACAGCGACCACTAACAAGTTCACCATCCTCTCTTCGCTTGCTGCTTCAGCCAACAAGGAGCTGTCCAAAACTTCTGCAGTCCATTCTTCTCTAAGAACAGTTCTAACCCAATCTGCCAAACAAATCCCTTTTTCATCTCTCGTAAGCTTCCCTGTGAGCAGCTCAAGGAGGATGAGCCCAAATCCATGAACATCTGATCTGAAGGAGGTGCTTTCATGGAGCCCATATTCACTTATGCACGGCTCCATGTTCCAGTTCATGAGTATGTTTGATGATTTCAAGTTGCCATGAGCTATTTCTTCTTGTTCTAACCCCTTGTGCATTTGTGCTAATGCCTTCGCTATTCTGCCTGCTATGTCAAGCCTGCTGATCCAGGGGAATGAGTTCTTGTTGTGGCTTGATGATCCTGAGATTTCAAATGAGAAATATGAGCGCTTTTGGGCTTTGTAATTGATGGACTATGATGCTTAGATGAGTTTTGTGACATCACACGTCGGTTGAAGAGGAGAACGAAACATTGTTTATAAGGGTGTGGAAACCTCCCTCTAACATACGCGTTTTGAAAACCTTGAAGAGAAGTCCAAAGAGGACAATACCTGCTAGCGGTGGTCTTGGGCAGTTTCAAATGGTTTCAAAGCCAGACACCGGGTAACGTGCCAATAAGGAGGGTGGACACGAGGCGGTGTGCCAGCAAGGACGCTGGCCCCAAAGAAGGGTGGATTGGAGGGTCCCACATCAATTAGAGAAGGGAACGAGTGTCAGCAAGGACGGTAGGCCTCGAAGAGGAGTAGATTGTGAGATCCCACGTTAGTTGGAAAGGAGAACGAAGTCATTCTTTATAAGGGTGTGGAAACCCCTCCTTAATAGACGCGTTTTAAAAACTCAAAAGGAAAAGCTATCTGCTAGCGGTGGGCTTAGATTGTTACCACCAAAAAATGAATAATGAGCATATTAAAAGGTGTAGAAATCTTACCATGAAGAAGGCTGAACAGGCTTCCATTAGGCTGAAATTCATACACCAAAAGCTTCTCATGATCAGAACTATAAAAGGCAAGTGGTGGAAGCACATTAGGATGCTTCACTCTATCAATCTTCCACATCCTTTTCATAAACTCATTACTTGAAATGCCCCAATCCTTAATCCTCTTCACAGCAAACACCATCCCATAATCAAACATAACCTTATAAAGACTCCCATGGTTCCCTCTCCCAATCAGCTCAGCAGGAGCCTTAAGCAAGTCCTCAAACTTCAACCCATTCACCACTGGATTTGTAAGCACAATCAGAGATGATGACAACCCTCCACTCTCACTTGAAAGCATTGAAAACTCTGCCTTGCTTGTTTTGTATTCACTTGACAAAGAAACAGTACTGGACTTGCTGCTAATTCCGTCATCATCTACTGCTGCAACTCTGTTGCTTGAATCCTCTTTTCTTACCTTTTTCCTCCTTTTACATATCATGAAAACTGCTATAAATGTTAAGAAAACACCTATCATTATGTATCCTGAGAACATCAAAATATGGTCTTTGTTGTTGTGCTTTGATTCTTCACCTCCTGGTTTGACTTCTTCCAGCTTGAGTGAGTGGCATTTTGTTGGCAATGGATCTCCACAAAGCAGTGGATTTCCCATGAAGCTGTCTGAAGCAAAGTAGCTACCGCCGTCGGTCGGAATCGGACCAGAGAAATTGTTGAAGGAAACATTAAATCTCTCAAAGTTGGAGAATTCAAACTGGGGTATCTCTCCAGAGAACTTATTGTCCTCAGCAAGGAACATGGTGAGGCCTGAGATCCTTGACAAATCTGGCAAGTTCCCAGATAAGTTATTGTCTGAAAGTTCGAGTCTTTTAAGGTTGACTAACTTGGATAAAGAACTTGGTAGATTTCCATGGAATTTATTTCCTCTTACATGAAACCGTGTCAGCTGCTTGCAATTATCAATATCAGCTGGGATTTCTCCAGAGATGTTGTTGTAATTGAGGCTTAGAACAGTGAGGGAATTCAGTAGAGGCTTTGAGTTGCAGAGGAAGCTTGTTTGAAGAGTTCCTGAAAGATTCAAGCCATCAAGAAACAGTTTCTTTACAGAAACATTTCTTCCATCACAGACCAAACCAAGCCATCTGTTCTTGCAAGGATCAGAAGAAATGTTCCATCCAAGATGCTGGTTGTGTTGACCATTTTGGGGACTGAGTTTTGCAAGAAACTGAATCAGTGAGCTCTTTACAGAATCATCGACAGCATCAGCATTGGTAGAGATGAACAGAAATGAACAAACAAGAAACGCCCAGATGGAAATTTGATTCATTTTTTCAATGTTTGTGGGGAAATCAACCTGGAGAAGTTAACAGAAGAAGGGTTTTAAAGAATGGCTAATAAACAAGAGAGGATAAAAGGTAAAGGGTGTGCATAGCAATGAAGCCATTGTTGGAGTTCTTTAAGCTCCAATTGGCAAATGATTTGCAATAAAACAATGAAGAAAATGCCATTTTTCTCATTGATAGCATATGAAAATTTGGAAGCCGGCATCTCCAGAGAAGTTAGTTGTTGTGTTGTTATATATATCAGTAAATAGAAACTTTCTGATATAATGTTAAATCAAACTCATCCATTTTGTTGACCATTTCAAGTGCTTCTGATATCAGTTCTTGATCAGTGGTTGATATCAATCCAATATTTTGATCCCATAAAGAACATCACAAGCACATACATGAAACAACCCTAACAAGAAAAATCAAGCATAGTGACCTGTTGGACTCATTCTTGAGGTTATCGACATGATACCTTCGCTACAAGTTAGGATGAAAGTTAATCATACCATTGTAAAATATATGGGAGGTTCATTATCCTAACACAATAAACTTCTCAGGTTGGACCATAAACAGTTTTGGGTCCTTACAACTTCTTGGGGAGGGCTAGTGTGAGATCCCCCATCGGTTAGAGAGGGGAACGAAATATTCTTTATTAGGGTGTGGAAACGTCTCCCTAGTAGATGCATTTTAAACAACCGTGAGACTAATAGCGATATGTAACAGGTCAAAGCGGACATATCTATTAGCAGTGGGCTTGGCCTGTTACAAATGGTATTAGAGTCAGACATCAGGCGGTGTGCCAGAGAGAACCCTTAGTCTCCAAGGGGAAGGATTTTGAGATCTTATGTCTGTTGTAGAGAGGAACGAAACATTCCTTATAAAAGTGTGGAAACCTCTCCCTAGTAGACGCAGATAATATGTGATAACAGTGAGCTTGGATTATTACCGTTAGACTAAAAAATAAAGAAAAACTGGATCACTTTTGACACATTCTAGTGTTCCAATATGTTGTTGAGCAATAAAACAAAAGGGCTTTGGTATATGACGCAATTAGAGATTGATTTCTTTTGGCTTTTACGGAGTCTTTGAAATACTCAGGCCTGCTGATAGAGGTGCCAATCAAAGTGACTCAGATATGATGTTTTTTCCAGGTAAGTTGAGCAAGAACAGAGCATATGAGACAGAGAAAAGTCCCAAAACAATGGGAATTGTTCTTTTCTAGATATTTGGGCTCCAATGAAAACGAGATTTACAAAAATAGGATGATCTACCTGGTTCATCAATGAAGTTAGCACCTAGAGCACCAATAACCACATAGTCCACCGAGTTAGAGAGTTCAACGGATTCGTGCTAGTTAGACGTCGACCATGAAATCCATCACTATATCGAGTGATTACGAGCATT